TGTCTTGTTCAGCAGGAGCATGATGCTGGTGCTCAAGCAGAAGTCTGGAGTAATTTGCCCTTTGCACAGTAACATGTACTCTTACAGCACAGTAAAATAACCACAATTCATACCAGACTAAAAGCCCTATCACTCCTCTGTTTAAATTATACAAAAGTCAACTCTTGGAGGTCCCTCTGAGCACAGCTCCCAGCAATACATGAGGTTCACTCCAGCAGATTTGCTCTATATTTACCCATAAAAAGACCATCACAGTCTCTGCTGCAACATTTCCTGCCAGCTACTAAAAGATGACCCGCAACAAAGAGACTAAAACCAAGTCCCATCTGTGTGAGCTCTAGATCTCTTTAAGAAATTCATGCAGCTCCTCCAGATCCCAGGAGTTTGTCGGGGTTGTGGAAGCAGTCCCGCCTCATCGATGTGGCAAAAACTATCCTGGATGTCACCATGCAGCCTGGGTAATGTTTTACTGGCCTTTTAATGCTGAAAATAAAAGTAAAACTAGCAACCATAGATCTATGGTGTGATACACTGTGGAGTAAAGACAACCTAAAATGAGTTCTCAGTGCCACATGAATGCAACTAAAAAATCTGCAGCAAGCCAGATATCAGCCCAAAGCTTTGCAGCAAGGATGCTTTATCAAACCATCAGAGTTGACAACACATAAGGCAACAGCTCCCTCCTCTCCTAACAATGCAATCTGATCAATAGCCCTAAAACTTCTGATAGTGCCAGATGACAATTCGCTCTATTCTAACATCAAAGAAAATTCACATACAAGGCCTTGATACTGAGGTTAAAACCGTGCTCGGGCAATAACGCAGAAGGTAGCTTTTAAACTTGTTTTAAAGTAACTCCTTGACATCTCACACGATAACAGAAAACAAAGAAATGGGGCTTAGAGAGAAAAGCAAACAACCCAGGTCTCTCTCTCAGCTGTTAAACTGCCTCTTCCCCAAGATTCACCCAGGAATCTCCCCTCCACTAAGGCTGCCTGTGTGCACAGAAGTGCATTTCCCTGCAGCCATCCCGGTCTGAGTGGTGTAACACCCCTCCCTGGTTACTCACATGCAGCCCCACAGTGACCTGGCCCTGCAGGAAGGTATCACAGCTGGTACTGCAGATGACTATTTTGAACAGCACAAGCCATGACAACCAGCCCTGGCTATGCCCTGTGCCAGCATTTATTTCCTGTCTGTTGTCTGCAGACAAACACCTCAGCTCCTTTTTAGCTGCTTTTAATATCTTTAACCGCTTGATTACCAGAGAGAGACAAAAGTGATTTCCTGCGTACTTAGGGACACTTTCAGGTGGGTCAAGCCTTGTGCTCTGAGTAAAATCCCTGAGAGTTACTAATGTGGACTGGCCACTTACAGATAATGGAAATGCTTTTAGACAAGGTACATTTTTGAAGAAGTGACTGGCAGAGTACACTGCACAGGAATGGACAGAATGGTGACCCTGCTGCTCAACACACCATCTCACCCCCATGTTATTCATAGAACCACAAAATCTTAGACTGGTTTGGGTTGGAAGGGACCTTGAAGATCCTATAGCTCCAACACCCTGCCATGGGCAGGGGCACCTTCCACTAGATCAGGTTGCTCAGAGCCCCATCCAGCCTGTCCTGGAAGGAACCCCTCCAAGGGATGGAGAGTCCACAACCATTCTGGGCAAAAATTACTCTCAGTGAAAAGTTTACAAACTGCAGGAAGGAGTCAGAAAGCCAACTCAGCACTTCATCCAGATCCTTGCCTCCTCATGCAACACACAACTGCAAAGCCAGTCAGCGACCAGCAAACATCTGCTGGATCTCCCTGTGTAGCCAAACAGCCTTCCCTGGCAGAGCAGTATGGCCAAGTGTTTGGCAAGAGGTCCCACATTTTTCAGCCATTAAGGATATCAGAAGAAGGTTGTGAGCTTGAGTTGTGGTCAGCACTGGTCTGGAGTCAGCACAAGAGTCTGGCTGGGGACAGGAACCTTCGCTTTTAGAGGCTGCTCGTTTTAATGATGTGGGAAATTCTCAGGCATCCAAAGGAAATGAGATCCACAGCAAAACAGCAGTACTGGACACTGGGTTAACAGTGTTGTCCTGCACAGCTATGAGGGTGACTGTGCTCCTGTTGCCAAATAACTGGTCTGGCAAGGCTTGGTTTTGGACAGAAAAGCAGTTCTTTCTCCAAGCTCTTGGAGAGGACCCAATTCTTTTCTGCAGGGGGAAAGCATAAAATGGGGGAAGGGGAGAAGGAATGGACATAAAAAGGGAGAATAGACCAGGAAGATCTGCAAGGCAAAGTGCCTCAAAGATTCATTCAGATAAACAGAGAAATAAAATGGTCTAACTAGAGTAATGAAGATGCTGTGTGATGCCACCTCCCCTGGGCCTGGATTGATCTTGGCTCCAAGAGTCACTCCCTGCCCACCAAAGGACTGACATTTCCATTCCATGCCTTTAACACTGACTGATTTTGACACTCTGACACACACAGGCAATGTCACTACCATTCCTTAATGGTCATCAGAAGCACAACAGCTGCAAAGAAAGGGAAAGGTACAAATAAAACCCAAAACTTGCTTACTGTGTTTGTTTTTCTTCTCTGGCAGAGGTGGTGGCTTTTCTGGGTCACTGTTAGAATCTGGAGCAGCAAAGTCAGCAATGAATTCCACTGGTGCTGAAGAGTTTCCTTGCTGGAAAGGCAAAACAGCAGCAAACGGCGTGAAGGGTATTGATGGGACAACCACAGCGTTCTGCAGGTCATCCTCGGAGATGTTGTCGTACTGGGAAGGGTGTCTCTCATAGGACACCCTGCAGCCTGAGTTATCAGAAGTCTGGGAGGCTGCACTTCTCCTCTTCTTTTCTGGCAAAGCTGGAGGAGTCTCTGTGGGCGGCGCTGCTCCCGAGAGGCTGCAGAATTCCAGGGGAGGAGAGCTGCCCTGCGGGAGCTGGAAAGCATGTCCATGGAAAGGGGAGCCAGACTCACCCAAGGACTCTGGCAATGGGCTGAGGATACCTGGCACCTGCTGAGGTACCTGATCAGCATTGGAGAGGTCCTGCTGCAGGAATTCATAGTCTGGATCATAGTGATCTGATTGATCTGGTAAAACAGAGGGGACAGGAGAATGATGCATTAGTTTATCTCTTTTACTGCTTAGCCCTTCTCAGTTCTGTCCCTCCCGTTCCATCAGTAATTTATCAGTTTATTTTAATTAGGGTGGAACTTCTTTGAAGCTGGGACCATCTTTTACACTTTCTGTGACATCTAGACTTCATAAAGCTCGTAGTTAATTCTTTACACTAGCAAACAAACAACAAAAATTCAATAGGTAGATGACTGCAGACATAATTTATGTTTCATATTTATATTTTTATTTTCTTTCCCAGTATACAGAAACAACATTGCTTGAGTCTACCAGCACTGTAATTTCTGCAGACAGGGCTGAAAGAAACAAAACATTCCACTTGAGAGCCAAACTGAGTTTGAACACAACAGCCAGGGAAACACATTCCCCTGGGCTTTTCCCTATCTGACAAAATAACTCTGCACAGAACCGCCTGCAGCGACTGCAACACGACAGTTGCAGGCACAACCCATTTATTTCTGCATCCCAGCTGTGACAGCTCCCAAACCAGAGGGAAGGGGACCCCACCAGGCCTGGAGAACTCACCCAAGGTTTCACAGCTTGTGTTGCGGGAGCACTGGCCGCTGTCGCGGTCCAGGGACGAGAGCTGCTCATCAGACTTGCTGAGCTTGCCGATGCTACTGCACGGTGAGAGACGAGGAGATTCCCCCCCATAGGAGTGGCTTCCCCCTGACAATCTTCTCTGGGCATAGCAGTCAACATCAAAATCCTTCAGCGAGAAGAACATCGAGTCACCATCATTACTGGAAGTTCACTTGTAAGCAAGATGAAGCTCGAGGAACAAACACTCCCCTCAGGAGGGGAGAGGATCAGTGGGGGTGGCCCTCTCTAGGTAGACAAGCTCATGGGGATCACAGATACCCCCTGATTTGGTAAATAACCCATGCCAGGGAGCTCTGGGTGTTCTTGCTTCCAGGCTGTGACCCACACTGGACTCCACAGACATGGAGAAGATGAACGAGTTTCTCACAGATATACATGTCTGATGACTGTCATGACACTGATACAAGGTAATGAGACTGGAAGAGTTCTCATAAAATAGCTGGGGCTTTAGCAAATAATCAGCTGGCTTAGGTATATAAAAGGGAAAATAAACTATTGTGAGATACAACATTCTGTGCCCATGACTACAGTTCTATTTCAGAAATTACCTCAAGCTTATCACCCTGTGAGTGAACCCCCCAACTATTCCCACTCCATCAGAACAACCTTAGTGTGACTGTACTAGAAAGGCCATGGCTTTATCTGGGTCAGCCAAACGAGTGCAGAGGCTCCCCAAGCCAGAGCTGAGGCTTTGGAGATGAGGAAAAGATTCGATTTTTGTGCAATTTAATATGACTGAGGTCCTCACTGCTGAGTTAGTAAGTTCCTGAATGTGTAAAGCAAACCCAGCCATTTACAACCTCATAAATCCCAGACTAGCACAAGAAATGGAATGTGATTAACACACACCAGCTTTTCCATTTTTCTACCATAAAATTTACAAATTTCCCTCAAACTACTGCTTGAGTTAAAAGATGTTTTAAACTGTGACTGGATGAAGCCAGAGTTCTGATCTCACCGTGCCACATGCTTCCCTGGGCTGCAAGCAAACCACAGTGAGATCTGGCTGAGCTCAGCCAGCTCTGCCCTGTCCCCTGATCCATTCCACAGGGCAACACTCAACCGCTCCCCTCCTCACACTCTGCTACAGCTCAAGGCAACACAGTTTGTAGCAATTTGTTAATTAAACACAACAACACTGTAAAAAAAAAAAAAAAAAAAGAAAATTTAAGCTGTTCACATTATTTATTGTACTGATGTTCCTGCCACTAAAGCTCCCACTCCAGAGCTCTCCCGTGCGGGGCTGTCCCTGGACGAGCAGGGGCCTGCAGGGACCTGTGAGGCTGCAGGTCATGGCACTTCCCTGAGCTTTTGCTGCAGTTCACAGCACGTTTCCCCTTGGCTTTCACCAAGGGGTTATGCCATTACCTGTCTGTTGATTCCAACAGGTAAACTGGACCCACTGGTAGCTCGACTCATCGGGGCCACAACCGCCACTCTGGTCGGGGAAGGTGCCGACTGACGTTTTTTAGGGGGCAGTGCTGGTGGAGGGCTGCAAGACACAACAGGCATCGATGCTTCCATCACTCTTCCAGCAAAAAGATTTTTTACAATCTTCACAGGTTGCTTTCCAGAAAGCCTTTGTCAGCCAGGAGCTATTCAGCAAACTGTACCCACTGACAAACGTTAATTTAGGAATATTCTCACAGGTACCGTCCTGCTCAGTGACTTATTTTTTAAGGCTGGAAAAGAGTTGTATTCCTCAAACAAAAACAACTGCTGTTTTAAAAAAGTATTTTTAATGAAGCTAATTAGCATGGTAATTATTTCTTACTAAAAGCAGCGAAAATCCAAATTAAATGTTTTGGCTGACCCAAATATTGTTTCCACTGTACATTTCCCTTCTCAAACCTTCAAGGTTTGAAAAACGTTCAAAGTTTCAAAAATTCACAGGAGAGGAAAATTCTTTTTCCGGCCTTTCTACTTTCTTGGTGACCTTCAGGGAACAAGAGGGTCAGTGCTGCTCTCACCACAGACACTGTAAGGGGCCATGTTTTGGCACGAATCTGTTTCACACATACACATTAGCAGCAACTAGTGAGAATTTAACCCCAGAATTTTTACTTTTTGCTTCTAATGACACATCATTCTGGTAATCATCAAGCCTGTGAGGTTCCCAAGAGCACACGTTCTGTTCTTCGAAGAACTTTTTATATAACCCATGAGAATTCACAAAATACGCAGAAATGTGACTTTTTTTCCCGATCATAGCCCTTGATGCTGCGTTTTCAAATGAACCTAACATATATTTCTCACACCAGCCATTTGCACCAGTCCCAGAGAAGGAAAAGATCACACACAGGGACCAAAAACCTGCAAATCGGGGGTTTTCTCTTCCTTCTCAAAATAGAACACAGAAACTTTCATGTGGTTACTCGCAGAACAGGGTAAGAACAACCAAGCACAAGATTTTTTTCACACACGATTGGCTCCTTTCACTCTCAAGCTGATAAGCAATGCAGAACCACCTCTGATAAACAATGCAGAACAACCTGGCTGGGCAGGACAGGTTGGTAACTGCCAGCTGAGGTTAAAGAAACATTTCCCATCGGATACAGCAGCACCAAACACTTGTACAGTGTGGAATTCCCACAGTTTTACGTCAGGTTTTTATGGATTTTTGTGATGCCTCTCACGCACGGACCTCAGGGCATGGCACTATCCTCACATAAAAAGAAGGAAAGGAAAACACAGAGAGAAAATAATAAGACAGACAGAATACAAATTCATAAACAGTCCAGGAGCAAGGGAATAATTACTCTGGAAGACTGGAAATTCAGAGGCAGTACTAGCTCTCCTCATGAATTCTCTTGTGCACGTTTGGCAAGGCTGTTTAAAAACCAACAGCTGGTAAGAGGCCCTGGTGTTCTTCAGTCTGGCTGACCAGTATTACCTGTTATCTGCCACACGAATGCTGGGCAGAGGGGGTTTAGGAGGTGCAACTTCTTCATCCATGGAGTCAGTCAGCAGCTCGTTGGATTGGGTCATATTGGTTGTTTTGTTGAGGATCTCCATTTCTCGGTCTGTAAGGGGAAGTTCTGATGGGCTGCAACATGCAAAACACAGATCGTAGATCACAAACCACAGCTGGAATGCAGCCTGCTGACAGATTCATTCCTATTTTAAATCATGTGCAATACAACAGACACCCACAGCAGAAGGCAGAATTTGCATCTGCAGGTGGAATTCCATGTATATGTAGAAAAGAATGTGCACGTGTCACAGGGGATGCTTCATTGCCAGATTTTGTTGGTTTTTTTTTTTCCTATCACAGGATATTCTCTTTTAGTGGCCCCACTGAAATGGATGGGACTCCATAAAGAACACTACACCACCCTCTGTGAAGAATAAGTGAATGCTTCAACTCAGTCAGCAGTAGACAGAAATTATCCCTCTATATTAGTCCTGCACACAGAAGAAATCCTTGTCAGAGGACCCACCTGTCAGATTTACATGCTGGTAAACTGGGTTTAACTGGGCTTGTGGGAGAGGGATGCTCCTGCTTTTCAATCGTGAGTCTGACCAGCTCCTGATGGATAGAGAGGAGAGAAGAAAAAGAGAATAATCATTACTTAAGTGCAACATTCGGCAACTTAAACACCCTAGAACAGAAAGGGATGCTATTGCCGTGAACTCTTTGTTAGCAGACTCAGAGTGAGCTGAGCTGGGTGTAGGTCTGGTACAGAGCCACAGAAATGATGCAGAACAGCTGCTAAGGAGCAGCCTGGACCCAGCAGCAGTTTGGCCATATTTGAGTTAAGTTCATAAACCCTGGCCCTGTGGGGATTCTGCACAAAACCCACACATGTCTGTGCTTTTTGCTGTGCTTCCTCTTTCCTCCATCATCACAAATGTGTTCCAGTCCCCACAGCACCCTAGATAATGGCAAATTGGCTTTACATATATAAATGTAAGTGCAGAACGAGTCTTACCCAGTGGAGCACTTCACCTAGCCAAAAAAAAAAAAACAACCACAAAACCATTAAATAATTGTTTGATATCCTATAAATAAATATGTATTTGTTTAAAAAAAGCAAGTTTTCTGTAAGATGCCCAACAACACATTAAACAGTAAACCCCTTTATTAAAAGGCCTGCTTCCCCTAAAGCCACTTTTTAACACGTTAGCAATGCAAGTCTTAATCATTCAAGGAGCCACTGTAGTGCATCTGTTATAGGCAGATAAGGCTCTGGATAAAGAGATAAGGGCACCATAATCCTGAACTCTGAGTCTGCCAGCAGTCAAAGCAACAATCATTCACACCAGAAAGATGGAGAGAACATTTTATGGATGTCTGAGGCCAACAAACAGATCTACTGCTCACAGATACAAGCACATGCCCTGTTACAGGCAGGTTGGAAAACTGGCAGTGCTTCCTGACAGTATTGGCTTCCCAGCATGTTACGCAAAGGAAATTATATGGGATCAATTTTAATTAGGTTTTTTTGTGGTGTTTTTTTTTTTTTTTTTTTAAAGCAGCCTGAAGTAGAGTGTCATCATTCCAGTATCATCTTCGTGTCCTTGTCTGCGGAGCTTGGAAACAACTGGCATTGCTCTCTCAGTGCAGTAACTGCAACTGGAATGTCATCACCATCATCCTTCTGAGGAAAGAAAATATTCTAGTTCTGGTATTTTTGCATGAGGCTCTGTTTAAAGCTGAACTTCCATGGGTTCAGCATGGACAACATGAGGAGTAAGGTGCTGCACTGGATGTGCAGAGGATGGCAAACACAGTGCCCAAGTGTCCACCTCAGCTGATTTTGGTTTCCATGTTTTACTTAACATTCTTGATGTGAGCTTAAGCTCCAACAGAATGTACACCATGTTAACCAAAACCAGGACAAACACTCAGCTTTCCACAAGCTGTCCTGGAAAGTCCCACACCGTGGGAAGGAAGGAGGAGCACAAACAGAGCACACACAGATGTCCACGGGGACTAATGCTATGAAGATGTTCCTGTTGGGACAGACAGACGAGAGCCCTGGCGAGGAACAGCCTGTTCTGAGAAGTGCCCTGAGGAGGACAAGCACAGCACCAAACTGACCACAGGACAGCCTGGCCAGCCCCGACCTCCCAGGGCAGCCACATCCCTCAGCAAGGAAATACTCAGCAACAAGGAGCAGCACACCGACAGGGCTTTGGACAATCCATCAGCAACACAATAAAGTCAAATAATTCAGGCCCTCCAATGGCACAACTGCTACAGTGGTAACACAGACACTGAACTGACCTCAGACCTCTCTGCTGAGTGTCCCTTGTTACTCAACAGAAACTATTTTAACAAAACGTACTTTCCCCTCTTTTATCTTCTCTTTCAGGATGAACAGTCTCTAATTAAAACCTTGCTATTCCTTTAAGACTTTAGAAATTCCCCTGTAAAGTTTACTGAACTAGGAAAAACAACCATAGGATCTGGGAGCCTACAAACCCTAAACAAGTTTTTTCTGTGAATTGGACCATTTGGAAATTACACAGTGACACCATTTGACCCTCAGGGCTGCAGCTGGCACCACGCTCCCAGTCACTGTCAGGGCTGAGTGATGACACCACGGATTGCCACCTTCCTGCCTTCTGGGCAAAATCCCACTGCTGAAGAGGTTTCTGGAGACCCTCAGGCACTTTAACAGACTGGGAGTCAGACCCTGAGGGGCTGTTGGGTCCTGGCCAGCAAGAACTGCAAATCCACAAGAGTACAATAAGGGAAATAAAACATTCAGACCAAAAGCCAACATACTCCTTAAACATTCCCTTGAAATGGCCATGGAAGGGAAAATGTAACATTTCCTTTTCTTCACCTTTCTTAATCACTAGTTTGCCAGTCATAATGGACACACAGTCATCCACCACATGGGAATGTAGGTTAAAATGGGAGAAAAACAATCCACTTTGGCTCAAAAACATCTTCAGAATGAATTCAAACCACTGGGACTGTGGGGGAAAAAAACCCAAAGCACCTCCCACCAGAGGCAACAAGACAACGTACGATTGTTAATACTTGAGAGGACCACTTTCCCTTCAAACTTTGACAAGTATCACCAGCCCCTGACTGTTTCTCCTCTCTACTATCCCCAAGTGAGAACTAGCATTTGAAAATCAAGCCAAGATCTTTAGCATACACACAGAGGTAATCAGCACACAACCGAGCCAGATGCACATTATGCTATTCCTTATCAGCAAGGAAAGAGATTCCTGCAGCAGTAATTAAGGATAATTAAAGCCTCTCTGCAAACTTATGCTACTTCAGCAAGCTGGAAATTCCAAAATGAGATGGATTTTTAAGAAGTTATGTAATCAAAACAAGGAAATTTTTTTCCCCTTTTATATATGCCTAGCAAGGCTCTGCAACCTGAGATCAAAACATCAAGTTAGAGAGGTGAACAAGCTACTCCTTTATGCTCAGTTCTGAAAATAAAGGGGGGAAGTAAGCACTGAAATGTGGAAGTGGATCTTGTGTGATCTGCCAGAAAAACAAAGTAGGTTCTGCTGTGGAGAGAAGTGTCCAACTTCTCAGTTCTGCTTCCAGATCTGAAAGTTGGCTTGGCCCTACTAAAATAAACCTCGTGCTTTGCCATGCAGTAGATGAGAGCACGCCACTTCCAAATGCTGCGCTGTTGATGGGCAGACACGTTCACATCTACCCAGACAGCCACACATCTGCTCTAACCATGTTCCAGGCTGACCAGACATAAGTCAGCTCCAACTGGAAGGCCAAAATAACTTATAGTCTAACAACAAAGTAGAGACTGATATAACCATGGTGGTGCTCCAGAGCTCAGGTTTGGCACTGCATGGACATGCCCGTGCTGCTCCCAGCCTGGGCTGGAACACAGAGCAGGCATCCAAGACTGAGATCTTCTCCCATCCAAGAGAGAGATGGTCTGGTCCCTCATCCCAGACCTTCCCCCTGCCCCAAACCTCCTCCCCCATCCAGAGAGGATGCTGCTCTGGCTGGAAGCAACAGGTATCGAGGGTTTCAATACTGCTTGAAGTGAAAGGACAACGTGAGTCCAAGTCTCCTGCCATGAGATCACACAGTTCTGCCCCGGGGATAAAACATCTCACCACAGGATTGTGCAGATCCAGTCAGTGATAACTCACCATTTGCTGGGGTATTACAGCTCAGATACTACAGATTTTCACATACTGCAAATTGCTGCTGAATTCCCACCCTAACAGCAGCTGAGACTTTAGGCTAAACTCTTTTTCTCTCTCCTGCTGTGCAAATTTAAGACCAGCTTTACTTTTAAAACGTGGAGCTTAAAGAGCATATTGCACTAAATAATCCTGGAAAATCCATCTTCTTTAGGTGATGGAAATGTTTTGTTTCAAAGATATTTATTTAAAAGGCTCATAAAGTAATAGCAGATTTTAGTATCTGTGTTTGAGTAACACTAAAGAGATATCCAGAGGATGCAAACCAAGAGGTCTGAAAATGTGACAATCAAAGCCTGGGAGATCCACTTCATTTTTGCATTCAGCAGGAGATGACAGTCTGTCCTAAGCCCAGGTCAAGCAAACTTTTACCTGCAGTGTTAAGACAGGTGAATGACGAGCCTGGAACACAGAAATAATGGGCACCAAAAACTCCCAGGGAGGTAGAAGGAAATCCAACAGCTGTCCCAGGGTGGAACAGTGAGGGAATGCTACAAGCAGGTCTCACAGTGGATACAAAGATTTCTGTTAAACATTGCCATTCGTTATGCAAAATTAATCTCTAGAAAACTGAGTTTAGCTCATCACCTGTTCCACACCCTAATCCAACTGCTGAGGCTGGTGATGTATCACTGACAAACCCCTTGAATTTTATCTTAGAAGATGGAGCTGGAGTCTTTGATTCTCTGTGGGCATTGACAGGAAGCATTTTTGTTTTATTTTGCCTAAACAGAAAATATGCAAACTCTGCATAGGAGACTGGGAATGAGTTGCTGAAAAATTAATACAATGCCAAATAAAGATTTATTGCATCTTACAATTCACCCAAATGCCAGGGTAAGCATTTCAGAAGTTCACGCTAAGAGCCAAACTGTTTGTGCTAGTCTTTAACCAGCACTCCAAGCAGGATCATTTCACTTATGGAAGAGTTGATTTAAGGGATAGTTAACTGAAGGCAAGAATGGGACCTTCATATTTAACCCTCACTTAAAAACCTCTTTTACATAGATCTTTTCTAAAACACATCATCACGTGCTTCATATAACGTGATTTACAACATCTCTCTCGTGTACCTTGACTCCATCCAGAACAGCTTTTATGACGTCCTTCACTGTTGTCACCATCTCCTTGTCTTCTGAGTTCACCCCCTCCAGCATCACCTGGTCAGACCAGCGGATGAGGTTGGCCAGGCTCTGGTACACGCGGCTGTAGCAGGACGAGATGGCAGAACTGGGCAGCAGGGGAGGGGGAAAAAAGAACAAAAATGAAATTATGGAGACACCATCAAACGTCATGAGAGTGCATTTCACACTGTTAAAAGTGGGATTGCTCTCCTTTTCCCTCTGATATTTGGAATTTGTGTTTAGCAGGTGACAAAGCTCAGGTTTCTCTTCAGTTGCTCAGCTGCAGTTGCTCTCCCGCTCTCCAGCACCCAATGGGATGACAATATGAAAGTACAAACCATCAACAGTTCATCCCAGTTACCAGAAGGAATTATCTGGGCTGCAGGTTAACACAGCGATGCTAAAAATAACATTCTTTCCATTCTATTTTACAGCTCCATCTTATGCCTTAATTTTAAACGTAAGTACTTAAGTACTACATTTAAGTTTAATCTGTATTATTTCAGTATTATTTATGGTTTCCTTCTTCCTTGTTAACTCTCCCCCAAAATGCCTTGGATCATTGAGAGCTGACTCTATTCATTCCTTTACAAATGATTGCCTCACTGTTTATAATGCCTGAAAACATGTAATTAAAATTACTTCTTTAGAGAAACTGAACTGAATGAATTTCAGGTTTGAAAGAGGAAGGGTGTTGCTTTGTTTTGTTTTTAATGAGAAACAGAATTGAAGTTATTGTTCTGAAGGGAAAAAAAAAAGAAAAAAAAAATTTTGGAAGGATGACAACTCTAAGTAAAAGTTAACTGTAACAACAGTGCTCCCAGGCATTTTCCTGGCCATTCTGAAAACACTGACTTCATTACTAAACAAGGTGTGTTAACAGTACTGCTGATGGCAGCGCTTCAGCAATTCTTTGTCAAGTTAAATCAATTTCAAGCTGCATCAAAACCATAAACAGATAAGAGAAGGTGTAATCTTGCAATCATTACTGATACAAGTGTTCCAGCTCTTCCCGTTTCTCTTTGGTATCCATTTTACATTGGCTTAACTCCAATAATTTCATTACCTGCGAGAAAAGAACCAAGCCCACAAGCTTCAATGAGTTTGTTTGGGTGAATGAGGTTTGCAGGACTGGGGAGAGAACTGTTGTCACCTTAGGACCAGGAGATACAAACAATGGCAAGGACTTGATTGTGACTGTTGTTTGGGTTTGTTTTTGTTGTGTTTTTTTTTTTTTTTTTAAAGGATGCTGCTTGCCATTTGTTCTCATTTCAAATGAAATCAGCTTGGTAGGAGATATTTCCTAAACAGGGCCCTCCCCCATCTCTTTCTATGGCTTTGATTTCTTTGCCATTAATCTTCAGCCTGCTTCCTTCTAAGGAGGCAGTAATTGAAAGCCCATTTTGTGCTAGATTTAATTACTTTTTTCCTCGATGCAAATGCTTCCCCTAAAGCAAAAAGAAGTCCAACAATAATTGTAGGGCTTTTTCCTACACTGACACAAGCCTTGCTCACTTTTCTTGAAGGGGATTTGCCATCAAGATCACCCCTTTGTGTCCTGCCGCTGACGTACAATAGGTAGGCAGGGAAGGACATGGCTTTTTGAGAAAGCCAGAGTTCCTTTTGGGTTTTTTGGGAGGCTGAGACAGGCACAGCATCCACATGGGATCTGTGCCTTCATCCATGCAGTTTCCAGAAAGAGAGACTTATCACTGTGTAGAGGACTCCACTGAGTACTGACTGAAAATTCTGCTTATATGGACAAATGTGGGTATCCAACAGTCAAGTTTAGCATGAGTTCACTACTAAGGGAGAACAGATAAAAATTGTGAAGAATAGAAATGTCTGAAATACTTCATCTGCTGAACACCACTTATTTTATATTTATTTCCAAATATATTCTTGGAAGGAAAAATCACCCAGCAGACACCCCCTAAAATACATAAATCAAATCAAGTGATGATAAGAATGACATGTTCTACTCTAAACATATTTGCTGACATTTCACATGTTCTCCTGGTGTAAGAGGAAAGTTTGTTCTCTCTTTTATTAAGTGAAAGCAGGTGCTTTTCAGGAATTTAATGGCAAGGGGAAACCTGGTAACAACTGAGGAGACTTCTGTGTCTGCATCCAGAAGCCTGATGAACATTCCCATTCCAAGAGCTATTGGACTTTGTGGTTTGACAGATCCAACCTAAACTGGATCTTACCTGTCTCAGCCCCAGGACTGACACAATCCCACTTCCTCCTTAATTTTGACCTATTTGGCCTGTGCACTGGGGCCAAACACAGCTGAGCATTCTGTTTGCAAAGCATTTTTCCCCCCACTGCTGCCTCAACCATCCTATAACCCCTTCTTGCACCACAGCTGAAATAAGGATCTTGAATCAAAAAATCTGGAGATATATAATGGGAAAACAAATAGGAACAGTGCAAAACCTGGCAGGATTTCAGGAACCAAACACCTGCATTTCTCTGCTTAGTTTTGTGCTCTTCTCTGTCTGCGCTAACTTTGCTCTTTCCATATTATTCAACAATGTTTGCTTTCTGTAAATCAACAGCTCCAGCATCCATGGGATGAACAGCAGCTGTATCTCTATGGCTTGACAAGTCCACAAATTCTTATAATCCATGATGAGCTTGGCTTTGGCAAATTTCTACTTCTTTCATGGCTTCAAACCCACTGCCTAACTGCTAAAAACATAATACACATAATCTGTTAAAACATAAAACAATAATCTGTTGAGTGAGCACAGGAATGAACTTGGTTAATCTGCTGAAGTACATCTATTTACTTCTGCATCTGATCCACTCAAATCCAAAAAAGCAGTGAAGAGTGAAGGCTCAGACATCTGTAACATCAGGGTGGATAAACTGAACATAAAAAAGGATTACTTTGAAGATAAACTCCTTTTTCAGGTAAAGCTATTGGATTTGTTAGCTTTTAGGGTACCATCGTGGACTGCAGAAACAGCAATACCATCCGAGGAGAATCTCCCACTAGCGAATGATGAATTTCCAAGTTTATGGTAAGAATCATCCCTTCCTCCTCTCTGAAGCCAGCCTGATTTGCTTTATCTTGCCACAGCATGAGCTCCTTCGCAGCAGGGAATCCGCTTTTAAATCATGTTTGAAAACCACCACACAATTAGTAAAAAATAGCAGTCACTTCATTAGCCACCACAGCATTCCATGTCTCCTGCACCATGTGGGTCTTCAGGCAGAAAGGAGAGAAGCTGGGAGCCCGTTGGTCTGCCAGGGTCCCAAAATCCAAGGAGGAAACTTACCTTTGCTGGATGCGAGGATCAGTTTGCACCAAGGGCAGGATGGCTTCCAGCACTTTGCTGGCCGAGCCTGGCAGCATCTCTAACACCTTGTTATCAATTGCCATTTTATCCACAATAGTCTTAAAGTAGCGCAACGCACTGACGACCTCCTTCTCCTTCTCCTCCAGCCAGGATACATTCTAAAGAGGAGGGAAAAAAAAGGAGAGGTGTGTTAAAATTTCAGGGTTTTCAAGGGCAAGGTTCTTTTAACACACATGAAGTATGGTGATGGTGACACTGAGGTACATTCCATGAGGAGAGGAGAAAACCCCTTCTACCACAAACACTTTTAAATTGAGTTACTGCTCTTTCAAAAGAACAGTCAATGCAAAGCTATACCCATACTTTAACTTTCTGCATTACCTGCATTCCAAACTGAAGGCTAATCTTGATCAGTTTTAGGCCAAGATTAATGCTACTGATGACATCAAGGGCACTGCTTTGAAACCTCCACGCCAAACTGGGGAGGATGAAAGAAAAAAACATATCACAGAATCCCAGAATGGTTTGGGTTGGAGGGACCTTAAAGACCAGCTAGTTCCACCCCCTGCCACGGGCAGGGACACCTTCCACTAGACCAGGCTGCTCCAAACCCCATCCAACCTGGCCTTGGACACTTCCAGGGATGGGGCAGCCACAGCTTCTCTGGGCAACCTGTGCCAGGGCCTCACCACCCTCACAGGGAAGAATTTCTTCCTAATATCTAATCTAAACCTGCTCTCTGTCATTATAAAGACAGCACCTTTGTCCTGTCACTATGTGCCCTTGTAAAATATAAGAAAACTTCCAAACAAAAAACTCCACTCTGACGAACCTCCAACTTAAGTAATTTTGTGACACTGCTGGAACAAGGGAACTCACATGCTTTCCACTGTGACAAAGTGTGAAAGCTAAATTTTGACACTGGTGAATGAATGTTGCAGAAGGGAACAATTCACTGGAATGAGGCTGAGCTGTGGTCACCAACTTCCGTGCCACCACCAACACCAGAGGAGGAAATTCAGAAGTGATACACGATACCTTAAAGGCACTCTGGACAAGGGAAAGTTTACCAGAGTATGCCTGGAGGACTTTTAATGCCACAAGTAGTTCCTAAGTGAGATTTAAATTAACTCCTGAACACTGCTAGAAAAGGAGCAGAGAGCTTAACAGAGTCAGATTTCATCCATTATCTCCTCAGTAAATTCACCTTCAGGAATTAATGACCTATGGGCATTGTATGCTCCCCATACTCTTGTCAGCTGTTAAACTGCTGCTTTTCTGCAAAATCAGGCCAGCAGCCCAAAAGGTTTTAGGAGAAACAATTTATAGGCAGTGCTGGTTAGTAATTTGGGGCCAGTTGCATAAAAGGATTAGAATCCCAAGTTCCATCTAGCTCCAACTTTAGAAGTCTAAGTTCCAATCCAAGATCTGCAAACCACCCTGTCATTTTCTATCTCATCTGGGAAGGGCCCAGAATCTGCTGCTGCTTCCACTTTTTGACAATACTGCTTGTCAGGCACCTCAAGTTCTGATCTGCAGCCCACAGTGCCCTGAACTCCCTTGCTGAGGAGCATCCTGGCAACCCACCGACACGAAAAAGGGCATTTCCCATTTTGCAGGCTTGTGCCCTCACCACTGCACAGCTTAATCTGGGATAGAGAATCATGAAAACATTTAGGTTGGAAACAAACCTCTGAGATCGCTGAGTCCAATCATTCATCTGTGGAGAGGTTCAGACTCTCCCCGAAGGTTTTGCGCTTCACATGAAATGATCACACGTTTCAGGGCTCAGAGAATCCGTGTGCTCCCCGAGCGAGTATGACCATGGCCCAGCACTCAGAGCTCTCAAACAGAAGTGAAAAAATGTGGGCTGCAGTTCCTGCTCCAGTGGTTGTTTATGGATTTCATTCAACAACTGTTTCCCGTAGAAAGGCTTGAGATTTAATAGCTTAAGCACTGCCCTGGTGCATGGGAGGGATGGGTCTGACTGAGAGTTCAGAATGGCAAGTGGAAACACAAACCCTTCCATCGAGCATACCAAGGCACGTGAGTCCAGCCACTGGACACTATCTGGGACACAGCCTCTTTTTGGTTTTTTTTAAACAGCTTCCCTACTAGCTCTTTGGGCGATATTCCCTAAGAACACTTTTTGATGAATCTTCTTCCAAGGTCCAAATGTTTCATATGCAGGTGTGTGCATGTGTGCGTAGAACCATGAAATCCCAGGATGGTTTGGGTGGGAGGGACCTTAAAGCTCATCTCATTCCATCCCCTGCCATGGGCAGGGACACTTTCCACTAGACCAGGTTGCTCCAAGCCCCATCCAACCTGGCTTTCAACATTTCCAGGGATGGGGCATCCACCCCTTCCCCTTTTGGGCATTACATGAGAAAAACTTAAAATTCAGACAAAACATCATCTCCACTCCCCTGCCTGACACATGGAGATATTTTTGGATGATTTTCGAAGCTTCCCCTTAAATAATCACTGGAAATGCATCATGTATGAGACACAGACGACCAGTGAGCTGTACAGAATACACCCAATTACAAAAGCTGGAACCATCCCTTTTTCCCCTGCATTTTGGCAGTGAAAAACATATCATAAATCTGCATATAATGTTAAAGGACACTGTAGTACCTACAACTATGCCCCACGATAAGAATCAAAGACAGCGTCCAGGGGACAAAAAGAGGCTCTGAAAAACCTCCTCCAATGTTGCCCTCATCAAGGTATAAAGGGGAAGAGGAGAAGAAGATGTTTGCATGGGCTGAGCACAACCTTCAGCTCACACATGGTGATTTTACATTAATTTTTAGTATTGCTATTTCTGCTCTACAGTGATTATCTACTTCAAGAGCACGAAAATAGCATCTTAAGTACTCAAGAGGGAGAAAAGGATGATATTTGGTTTGTCAAGTGTGCCTTCTGACAGAAAATCTCCTGTTTGTCAACTGATGTCTATATTCCAGTGAGAAAACCTGGCAGCAATCCAGGCATATCCTCTTCCTCACTCCCTCCACACAAAGCTAATGAGCTGCCTGCATCCAACTAATTGATTAGTTGGCCAGTAGCTATTAAAATAGATAAGGAATGAGCCAGAAGTCCACAATATTTCACAGTATAAAAATGAATACAGCTTAAATAACTATGTACAGTAATAAAAATTATTGCAAGTGTTTTGTTTTCCAATAAAAAAGTCCTGATCTGTGCATAAAAAAAGGGTTTGCTGACCAGCATGGCTTATTAGTAAATCCTCTTGCATCATTTTTAGGGGAAGGAAAGAGAAGCAACAACTTCATCTATTATTAATATACTAATATCTATTTGATATAGAACAGCATTTTCAAAAAGGGCTCTTCATTTTCTAAAGTATTTAATGTGGTCACACATCAATTTAAAGGAAGGTATCTCAAGATACCATCCTGAAACATCATTTGAATTAAAAGCCTTCAAGGAGTACTCTCAGATTTATTTTTTATTTTATTTTTTAAACAGCAGCGAGCAACGCAAGGTGCTCAGCTCCTTAGAAAGCATATTCACAGCCCCCTGGGGGGGTAAAAAATACAGTCTGGGGGAAAAAAAACCCTCATCATCTTCCACTTGATGGTGCAGAATAGGGTGAGGAAGCCCTGCAGCAACTCCTCTGGGCGTTAAGCAAATCAGGCAGCCTAAGATAACTGTATCTTGCTGGCTGCTCTCAATAACACCACAACAACCCTCAGCAGAGATAATCTAAAAAAGTTTGCGTGTCTGGCACTGCACATTGGATGAGACCTTTAACAACTGGGAGATGTTATGAATTATCATAAATAACCTCGATTGTTCTTAACTTTTGGCTTCGACTTAATACTTGAAAACTGACTGCAGCAGCATTGCTACAGAGAGAGTCTCCAGCCTACACAATCGGGTCACAACAGGAGAGGAGATAACACTGACAGGTTTGTGACCTCAGCTCTTGGAGGACCTGAAGTATGCCGGGTCTGAGGAACATTGTGCTGGGATCAGCAGCTGCTGGGACACATCTGCTTGACTCTCCCTGCTGATGTCACCAGAGATTGAGCACATCTTTGGAACATCTTCAAGGACTTGCTTGCCTGGGTTTGGGGTTTTCAAATGCATCACACCCCAAAACCAGGCAGTTATTTGGAAGCTGCAAGCTTAACCCACAGGGCGTGCATGTGGGGAGGATGTGTCAGGCCATACAGCACGTTCCATAGCGAGATATTTAAATGCTTATGGAAGGAGGTCTCATCATACCCTCCAAAGGGAAGGACATGCCTTGATTTAATACCACATAGTGCAGTGTATAAATAACTATAAAGTAACCCTGAGGATCCCTGAGCTGCAGAATTCTGCAGAGGGCAAAGTCATGCACAGGAATATGATAAAGCGAGTGCCAGAGAGCAAGAAACCATCTGGATTGACAGAACATGGCCTTGGCTTACTTTGTTCACTGACTTCTCCGGTGTTTTCACTGTCAGGTCAGCTGGTTTTCCTTTCTTTGAAGGTGTTCTCTTTATTTTTGGTGAATGAAACTTGCCCTTCAACTTCATGGTGAACGAGGAGAGATGAGAACGCTCAGAATCTGGAAAGACACAGAAACACGTTACAGGATTGGGGTAAATTTGTTGAAATCAGGGACATTTTGTTACAGTATTATCTGGAAGATACTTGCACCATGTACATTTATTGAGTGGATCACGATAAAAAAAATAATTAAAAAATCTCTATTATGTATCCAACCACAATATCCCCACCATTTCCCGATTCACCTTGGAGGAAAAAGTGCTGCAGAGCAAAGGCAGGAATTGCTGCTGCTCCATGCCTTGAAGAGGAAAACCACCTCTCTTCAAAGCACTTATCTCCAGCAGATTCCAAAGCACTTTACAAAGGAGGTAATCATCACCCCTCTTTTGCAGATGAGCAACTGAGTCAAGGGGATGAAGTGACTTGTTCACAGACTTCTGGCATGTGGGTGTGCAGGCAGGGCTCTGCCTGCTACCCAGGACTTGTGGCTAGAAAGGAGAACACAACCCAAGATAATGCCCTTCCCAGGATGCTGATCTCTACCCGCTTGGTAGCATCAATTTCGAATGTGGCTCCGTGGGTAATCTGAACAAAAATGTCACTTGCCATGGATTTCACTTCCAATATCCCAAACTGGACAACAGAGGAACCACTTCAATACCAGGGCATCATTCCAGAGGCTTAACAGCAGAACTGCTCAGCCCTTTTAAAAATTGTGTTTTCATGGGTTTTTTGGATATCTCAAAGCAGAAGTCTCAAAGGTTTGCAATCAGCCATATGCAGACTCACAGTTGAAATATATTTTTATCTGTAGCCACGAAGCTAAAATAAAACTAAGCTGCCTTGTAGAGAGCAATTTAGAATGCATTTTGAGCAAAGAGCACTTTAATAAATGAAGGTCTGAATTGCTCTCTAGTGACCCAGATAATTCAACAGAAGTTACCCAACTTGTCTTTAACTACATTAGCAAGAAAAGTGAGCAGTTTTGCTGCACGTTTCATTTTCCTTTTAGATTATCTGGGAATTCACTGCACTGGCTGCAGTGAGTTAAAAGGACAGCCCTGTGCACGCAGCACTGCACCACCTCGTTAGCATGCAGACTGCAAACAGCAAGGGGCTGCTGAGTCAAATCTAGCACCCAGGAGCCCAATACCACACGGCAGTGCGAACACTGCTCCTGTACTCAGAAACCACCTAACCACAGCCAAGGGAAGGAACCTGCACTTGCCTCCCTCCCCGTGAGGGTTGTCTCCCTTTAAACTTGGTTTCCTCGTAGTGTGTTAAGACCCTGCTATGAGCACATTCACCAGGGCCAACCCTCTGGTTAGGTATGTCCTCCAGACCAAAATCTGGTAGGATCCTACGGATAGAAGCTGCACGAGCACCGATCCTAATCTAGTCTGGCTGCAGAGCTGTTCTCCACTTACAGAAATAAATGTTTTTCAAAGTTTTCTTCCTATCATCAAGTCCTGTTTAGTTCACTGGGGAGGGAGACACTGAAAACCTTGGTCACTGCAGATAAATCCAGGCATATCAGTTGGCCTCTGAAGAATCACTCACAGCAGCTGGCACCCCAACTTAGCAACAATTTACGTCAGTGCTTTGCATCCATGAGGGGATCTCCAAACCTTTAAAACCTCTCTGGCTCCACAGGGTGCTGAAGGTCACCACTGAAAACAGTTCCTGGCTGTTGTGATAACGCTCTTGCACTCCCTCCCCAAAAAATCATTTGTATTTATTGCGTACACCATCTGAGAATTTCCACTCATGCACGCATACGCACGCTTGCCAAGAGGAGTCATGGCTCTGAATTAATTTTTTTGAGAACTGGCAAACAATTACAATAATTAATCTACAGGGAAATAATGGTAGCGGTAACAAATTGTGTCTGGCTCCTCCACGGGCTGCAGTGAGATCCAAACTGCTGGTCTCATTAAGAAAACACTCAATGCCTACAAAACCCGTGGTTGCCCATGGTGATAACTTTGCCTTGTAGGGACAATATCTGGAAGGGAGAAAGATTTCAGAAGACTACCACTTCCTTTTTTCCTGGCCACCAGACATCTCTACCCACCTCTATGGAGCAAGCACTCTTATGGCCGAACCAATGTGTGTGCATGGTCAGGAACTTCCAAAAGATATTTTGTCAGCAGAGAAAGTTTCTTTTCTGCTGACAGCAGACCTCCTTCACCACCACCAGCCCAATCACTGCCCTTTACTCTCCTCACCCTTTGGTCACACCAAACACCAAATCATTTGTGCACCACACTCTGATGGAAGACAGACCCACAGAGCAAGGACAGAAGCAGAATAGGAACTCCTTAAAATAGTACTCATGAAGTAAACCAGCTGACATTTGCAAAAGTAATAAACGTTATTGTTTGAACAACCCTGCTAAGTCCTGCTTTGAAGATCACAAATTAATGCAGCTTTTTACTGCCATGGGTTTCCATCTACACCAAGCACTTTCCAGCTCTCATCTGCTCACAAGTTTCTGATGCATTTGCAGTTAAACAAATGAGTCACAAACCAATATTCTCTCACACTCAATTACACTTAGCACTTAAAATAGCGCTTTTCTTGTTCCAAGCACATTACAAACATATCGTTCTCATCCTTAAACAGTCAGGTCTTAACCTTACCCTGCAGATGGGAAGCAGACACAGAGGTGAAGCAACTTGTCTAAACAGAGCAGAGGGTGAGTCAGTGACTCCAGCACAGCATCTCCATCACACTGCAGCCCCTGTCCCCCTGTGTATGGATCAAGCTGTGGAGCTCCTGTGGTTACACTCAGTGAATGCCAACAGAGATTATTTGGGCTTTATGGTTTGCAGGCTGATACATCAGTCAAGCATTATAAACAGAATTTGCTTTGTGATGAGTCTGGATGAAGTGGTATAAAAGAGAAGTGACAGTGAAGTAGGAAAGTATTCCAGCTCAGTGGTCTAAGGTCCCTAAGTTTTTATAGGTGAAGCCTGAAACCCTCCTGCAAACAGCACAGCTGAGCAAGACTTCCTAGACTGGTTACCATAGTGCTGGTCTGCTTTGAAAAAGTAATTTTCTTTACAGTGTATCCCAATTTACAAATCTAATGTCCTGTGTCTACCCAGTTAAAAAGCTCAAACAGCACAGCATGCCTTTACAGATCAAATAATTTGATAACATACAGAAAGAGGCAGAAAACAGAGCCCTGGCAGTGCTCAAACCACTTCTCCTGTCCCTCTGCTCCTTACTGCCTATCTACAGTAACCAAACCCCTTAATGCAGCATTGAGGTTGTTCTGAGCTTGGGAGTCTGCCCGCTGGAAATTATTCTATCGTATTACCCTTGCCTCTTATTGATGAATAGTCAGCAGTGTTTAGCTGGAGTCTCAGCACCAGCTTTCTCAACTTCTCTGATGCACAGGAGGAAGGTACTCTGTACTTACTTCTATGCAGTGCTCAAATATTTTTAAGATAGATGGCAAAAGTCAGGGTACTAAACTCGATAGAGTGATTTCAACTGGAAGGGGAAAAAAGAAAAAAAGAAAGCCCTGTATCAAAGTGTTTCTGTCTCAAAGGAACCACTGACTTTCCATCTCTCCGTATTTCATCTGTCTGGATGCTCCGGGGCTGCAGCACAGAACTGGGGGGAAAAAAAAATAAAAAATAAAAAATAAAAAAATCCCTTCCAAATTACTTTATTATGGATTCGGGTTTCTCGATTTCTGACCGGGAGCCTTGCTACGTCACTCGTTTCACAGCTAATTCCACCCCCCGTTAGCGAGGCTCCCGCTCCGCCGCGCTTGAACTCGCTCCAGCTGTTGAGTCACGGCCCTGCTCGGCTCTCAGGCTCGTCCCCCCCTGGCCAGCACGTGTCTGGGGTCTGACCACACACACACACACCACAGAGCTCACTCTGCACGCCTGCTCCAACCAGCCCTGCTCTCAGGTGTGGGGGCCAGAGGGGGTTTTTTTCAGCATCCCTCAAGCGCCCCAGGCCGGGGAGACCACAGTCAGCCTTGTCCCCCAGCTCCAGTACGGGGTGCTGCCTGCCAGTTTGCCAACAGAAAGCTAAATCTGGGGAGGGAAGAACTGCAGACTTGAAACAAAAGTAGATTAAGAGGCACAAGGGAAGGCAGATAAATCAGCTTATGTGTTTGAGGGTGAAGAAACTAGGCTGCTTAGGAGAAAGCCAGCAAGACAAAGCCCAACAAGGTCCACCCCTGCCATGGCCCAATGGTCACTTCCCACTTGGGTTCAAATGAACGCCAGAAAATGAGTCAAAACACGTGCAAGTTGGTGGATTCCATCAACCTAACCCAGCAGCAAATTATTTAAAGTCAAACTGAAAGTTCGGCCTTTTACAGAGCTCAGTCACAGCAGAATTTCCAGCTGCTGGGTCCCGCTCACCAGCCACGTGTAACCAGCACATGGGAGGCCTCAGAGATGAGAAATAACCCCCTGTTTTGCTTCTGCACCTCCTGGTCATGTTTTTGTCACTATAACATAGCTCAGTGGAAGGCTCCAGCAGCTGGGATGGGCAGTTTAACTGCTCAACTTGTCTAGTCCTTGGATCACATATAACTAATTGAAAATAGACTTACTTTCAATTAAAAAAAAACCACCAACTTTAGAATACAGCACCTTTCCTTCACCTGAAAAACTAAACCCTCCGTCTTCTCTCACTCTCAGTGTGTTCACACACCAGAACCTGCAGCTTTAGAGGAGACAGAACCTTAAAAAAGGCTTCATTTTCCAGCTTGTCCTGACTCTTGCGGCTCGTTAGAAAGAACGAAGTGAAGTCTAAAAATCTGACTCCATGAACGGCTCCTTTTTCAAAGGCCATTTGGGTCTCTGCTGGATGCACATATTTAAAAGCTATCAGATTAAAAATAACAGCAGACATCTCTCCCCATGCCATAATGAAGCTATTGTGCACATTTTTAATCAACTGCTCCTGCCACTTTTGCCACGAGTCCTTTGAAGGCAGCGGTGACTTATGTAATGAGTTACACAACGATGCCCATTAAAATGGCATTTGTTCCCTTGGGCTCAGCTCCATCATTTGGGGAAGACA